ATAATCAGCCTCTATCTGTATGGGAGCCGACCCTCCCCTTATATTCCAAGGAGGGGTCGGGTACAAGTTAGTTTGACTTTTGGTCTATGTTCTACGTACGCGGGGTGTAGAAGGGTCCTGCTACGGCGTGGATGGACCTCGGCTTTGTCTTGGAGTTAGGAGTTGAAAGAGATGTAGGTGCCGCCTGATGTCGCTGCCTCCGCCTGACACTTGTCCATGAAGGGCTGGCATAGGAGGACGTGATGCCCGCCTCTATTAATATAAAGTGCTTCTCTCTGAAAATACTATGTGTAGTAGTGATATGTGTCGCGGGTTTGTAACCGTGACATGCATCGTGGTTGTTCGTCGGAAGTCAGAGTGTGGGTCTCCAATGGCTTGGGTACTCAAAAACACCAAGGGAGAGACAACAGTTTATCCTCATTCAGGATATCGAGGCCCTACGTCCAGCAGTGAGGTGTTCTTCGTGTTAAGGAGCTCCCAAATCAGGGGGTTACAATGGAGGAGAACAAGAGTTTGGTAGGGGATCGCTCGGTGCTATCCTACGGCTTGTCGGCGGTAAGGTTCTTCCTGGCGAGTGAGGAACCGGTCCTCTCTGTAGCTGGGTTATCGGGGGGAACATTCTCCTGTTCCTCTGCTTGTTGGGTTGGATCTCTCTGTTTGGCCGATCCTTCTGCTATATAATCGGCCTCTGTCTGTATGAGAGCCGACCCTCCCCTTATATTGTGAGGAGGGGTCGGGTACAAGTTAGTTTGACTTTTGGTCTATGTTCTACGTACGTAGGGTGTAGGAGGGTGCTGCTGCGGCGTGGATGGACCTTGGCTTTGTCTTGGAGTTAGGAGTTGAAAGAGATGTAGGCGGTGCCTGACGTCGCTGCCACCGCCTGACACTTGTCCACCAGGGGCTGACAGAGGAGGACGTGATGCCTGCCTCTATTAATATAAAGTGCTTCTCTCTGAAAATACTATGTGTAGTAGTGATATGTGTTGCGGGTTTGTAACCAGGACAAGCATGGTGGTTGTTCGTCGGAAGTAAGAGTGTGGGTCTTCGGTGGCTCGGGTACTCAAAAACACATGGGAGACACAGCGGTTTATCCTGGTTCGGGATATCGAGGCCCTACATCCTGCAGAGGGGTTATAACGGAGGAGAACGAGAGTTTGGTAGAGGATCGCTCGGTGCTATCCTATGGCTTGTCAGTAGTGAGGTTCTTCCCGGCGAGTGAGGAACCGCCCTCTCTCAGAGCCGGGTTGTCGGGGAATAGTCTCCTGTTCCTCTACTTCTCGGGTTGCATCTCTCTGTCTGGCCGATCCTTCAGCTGTATAATCGGCCTCTCTCTATGGGAGCCGACCCTCCCCTTTTTACTGAGGAGGGGTCGGGTACAAGTTAGTTTGTCTTTCGGTCTATGGTCTACGTACACGGGGTGTAGGATAGTGCTACCGCGACGTGTATGGACCTCGGTTTTGTCTTGGACTTAGGACTCGAAAGAGATGCAGGCGCCGCATGACATCGCTGCCACCGCCTGACACTTGACAATCGGGGGTCTGTCTCTTGTTGCTCGGCCTCCCCGGTGAGCCTTCTCGGGCTTCCTTGGTCGAGAGGCTAGCGAGTGGGCCCCTAGCGCTGTTGCCCGTGACTTGGTGAAGTCGCTTGTCTTGTTGTGTCATGCCGATTATGTGACCCTATCGAGGAGGTAGCGAGACATCGCCTCGCGTCCGTTGATTGGGGAGGCACATGCAATCTTTGCTCTGTCGGGCTTCGGATGCTCAAGAGGTCGCCCATGGCTCGGGGCGCCATTGGCTGTCCGAGCACTTGCTCGGTCTATGCTTTGCGTGGGAGTCGCTCGGGCTTCGCCAGCCAGCTGCCACTGGGCCTGGCGAGCCCCCGAGCCCCAAGCAGTGGCTGCAGCCGTGCTCGAGCTCGGCCTAACTCCTTTCAGAGGGTGCTCGCGAGCGTACCCAATGCGTATAGTCCCCGAGCCCCCCGAGCGTTCTCGTGAGATCGGTCAAGGTGTCCGTCCGTTGGCAGCCTTTCGCCCGAGGACTTAGCATACCCCTAGGTTTGACTTTAATCAATGTGTAAATAATATTTTCGCATGCATTACCTTAGGTGAACCCCTTGTAAAAACACATGAATTTTTGGTATTCATGAATCGTACTCCCTCGGTTTCTAATTGATACGTTAGATGTTAATATATTTTTCTATAAATTTGGTCAAAATTAAAAAAACTTGGTTTAGAACAAAATTAAAATAACATATAATTTGGAACAGAGAGTGAATTTTCTTAAATAAGTTTGCTATTGGAAACTTATGTAGGGATATATCATAAACAACCCTATCTCTAGTATATATAAAGAGTTTGCACATGCTTCTCCTCTTTCAAATTATATGTCATTTTAGCTTTGTCCTACGTAGAACTCTTTTTAGCTTTGATCAAGTTTGTATAAAAATATAATGACATCTATAATATCAAACAAATGCACTTCTAAAACATATTTTATTTTGTAAGGAATCTTGATTTACGCTTAAATATTTCTGCATTTTTCCATAAACATGGTCAAATGAGAAGTTTGAATTACGACAAATCTAACAGTATTTACAATTTGGAGCACTGGGAAGTATTTTGTAGGTATTACTAGATTGTGTTCAACGTGATGTGAACCTCCACAATATTTCATTGTTCATGGAGAATTCAAAGGATTATTCGGCCTCATGGAATATAGACAAGAGACACGTCAAGACTTGGGTGCAACTGCAAAATCTGTCTTCATATAGAATATTAAAGAATTCTCCTCATTCCAAACCTGCCTTACACGTCAGTCTTGCTTGGCGTATATACTACAGATCCATATATCCTTGTTGACACAGATATCCCCAGAAGCCCTGCTGTGATGGACTCATCACTTGAGTGACACCGCAATAATCAGCAACGAAACCAACTATATGCTTTGTTAGATATGTGTCAAATATTTGTATGAGTCTGGTTACATTAGGACTTTGAGTTGTATTTGGCAGTATAAGGTAGAGTTGTAGTTGCATTCTATAACCCGATCTACTCATAATTTGTAACATCCTTGCCAGGCCAACCCACTAGCCCACTGTAAAAAGCTGATTATTAATGCATGCTGGCAATTTTATTTAGCCATGAACCACAGCTAACGACAAGCAGGTGCGTTTATACCAGCTAGCGGATGTTGAATTTGGTTGCAACCAATAGTACTAGTAGTAATCGTACCATCGCATATTTAGACAGGGTTTACGTTGTCTTGTCTTTTAAGTGTAACTGAGATGGTAGTAACAATCTAACAATAAGCTCTCACAGAGCCAAAACCGATTGTAGTGTGCTCTTTTGAATATTCAAGTTCATCAGATTTTGCACTGAGCATTTGGTGGAACAAAGATAAACAGGTGCGCTGAAGAGCCTACGATACGCTCAATGGACCTGTCGTCAGTTGAAACTTCCATGAACCTGACGCTGACACCTATGGCGTAGCACATTCTCCTATGAACGGAGCATACGGCCGGAAAATACTTTGACGCGTCCACAATAAGGCAGAGCCAGGCCGGCCATCATGGACGTCGCTACTCGATCTCGAGCCCCTATAAAAGGCCAGGACGTTCGGCCTCCTCTACGCACTGCACACTGCTTGCAGCACAAGCTACAAAATAGTTCCACGTAGTGCGCAATGGCAGCGATGCGAACGTGCTTGGTCGCCCTCGTCGTCGCTCTCGGGTTTCTCTTCCTAGAGAGGCCGGCCACAGCGGCGGCGGAGACGATTGCCGAGATGTCCGCGGAGCGGCGGCAGGAGGTGCAGAGCCTCCTCAGGCGTCTCAACAAGACTCCTCTCGCAACCATCGAGGTAGACATATATTGGCATCACCCATCCGTCTCCTATTAAACGCAACAAGCCGTGTGTTCAGCTTGACGTTCATGCAAAGGTCTCGTGCATGCTATCACTATAGATACAATATAATAATCATTCTAACAAGGAATAATAGCCAGCGGCGCACACGTAATTCTTGCTTCCATAGTAACAATGACAGATAGATTGCTTCGTGGTTTAAGCTGGCAGACAATCCATGACAGCACTAGTACACGTAAATCTTGATGTTCCTAGCTATTTCTACGAGTGCCACAAAGACCTCCTGTGGTAGGTAATTCATTTCTGTTGGCACTTTTGTTAATTTAGGACCACCTGCATTTCAGAGAACTGACTCCTGTGAAATTTATATGCAATTCTTGCATTACAAACAGATCCCCCAATTGTAAAATATTTAGTTAGAGCCACATTTCAGAGATGGCATGCACATATTTAACAGTTCGCTATATCGCCGACTCGCCACAGTCATTCATAGTCATGTGTCAACAGAAGTTTATTCAAGACAAATATTCATCACATATGTTGTACAAATGTGAAGATGAATATAGTTCCACTTGAACTTTTCCAAAGATAGAGTAATTAGTCTTCGATTTCATAGTAGTCCGCCAGGGCTAACAAATTATAGTAGCCATCCTGACGACAAGTTTCGCGGTGGATGAATAAAATGCTTGTAATGTTGTCATCATTGAGATGCTTGTTTCAGTTATGTGACGGAAGTACAGTAAAAACATGGACGAGAAAAAGAGTAAATGCGATACAAGTGACAAATCTCAATTAACTTACTTCCAGTTTCGTTATATACCTCCTGTTTTCTCTAAGGAACTCACACTCGTAGTATTCATAAGAAAGTATCATTCCTTAGGAAATGTATACAACTTGTACCTATAGAGACTAGCAGGATAGAAAAATTTGTAAGAACTTATATAAAGGACACTTGTACCCGAACTGTATAAATAACAGAGTAAAGGGCCATGGCTAGTTGAAATTGCACAAAATCACAAAAAAAAAACTCAACGCATTTTATTTATTGAACATTAATTTACAGGAGTAGCATGTACAGTTTGCGCACAATATTTTCTCCCGTTTTCAACCTTGTTCCAACAACTGATTCTGAGAATTTAACAGAGCCCAGATGGAGATATCATAGACTGTGTGCACGTCTCCAAACAACCTGCATTTGATCATCCCCTACTCAAGAACCATACTATCCAGGTTTCTCTTCCTGACCAAACATACTCAGGAGTAGCATGCTTGGGTGATTCTGATGAATATATTCAGTGGCGCCCACTATTACCTATGTATCGTTATATCACTGAATTGTCAACTTTCAGATGCGGCCTTCTTACCACCCAAGAAGCCTAAATCAAAACTACAACATTACCTCCAATCCAATCACCCAAACATGGCATCAAAATGGCAAGTGCCCTGAGAACACCATACCAATACGAAGAACCATGGTGGAGGATGTCCTAAGGGCAAGTTCTATCAGCAGGTATGGCAAGAAGAGGCCCAGGAGTATTCCGAACCTCAATTCCATAAGTGGCCCTGACACGCCAAATGTATTAAATGGCCACGAGGTAAAAAAAATTATTCAAGAATCACCATGTTATTGATAATCTGCCTCTTTGATTCGTACAATTATTTCTGCAATTGCTCATTTAACTTTATTTTCTCTCCCATGGAGCAGCATGCTGTAGCAGCTGCACAGGATAATAAGTGCTATGGAACCAAAGCCTCCTTCAATTTGTGGCAACCAACAATTGCTCGGACAAATGATTTCAGCTTGTCACAGCTCTGGGTCACTGCAGGTTCCTACAGCGGCAACGACCTCAATACCATTGAAGCTGGATGGCAGGTTAGACCTGAAGTGAAAACATAATAGCCGCAGGATTTTCTGCCTTGCTTGTTTTTTGTTTGCGTCAGGAAAGGAAGAACATCGAAAGCTCTGGTCCTTGCCCTCTAGCTCTCTTCCACCTAACAAACGGGTCCTAGGTGGCCATTCTTATATATAGATAGCTACCATCAGGATATTATATAAGCCCTCAGCATTCTTTAATGACGCAGTAAGTTGTGGTATCACTTTCGTTGTAAACTAATGACCCTTTTCTCTATACAAAATTGCAGGTTTACCCAGCTATGTATGGGGATAGCAATACTAGACTCTTCATCTACTGGACAGTAAGATAAACATCACATTCCTTTTTGTCTTCATTAGAAATAATATTGATCCTTTTTCATTAAGTTTGGGATAAGTTTACTAACTTTCTATTGATCTGGAATGTTATAGCGGGATGCATATGAACACACAGGATGTTACAACCTAGGATGCCCAGGGTTTGTCCAGACAAACAATCAGATCGCCATCGGTGGTAGCTTGTCCCCGATCTCCACATATGGTGGCACACAATATGACTTGGATATTCTTGTTTGGAAGGTAAAAAATACATAGCATTCACATCCAATGAACAAAAAGTTAAATTCATTAATGTGCATATAGAGAATCGTGCCAAATGCAATGCTTCTTTGTTCTTCTTTGATAATATGGCTCCGATCCTGGTATGTGTGTTGCCAAATACATAGCACTTGTGTCCCCTTGCATGTTTCACATTCTGTTGCGATCCCCAACCCAACAGTTAATATTTTCTTTAGAACAAGGCCTTACATGCTGAAACTAATAAATCTCAAACATTGATAATGCGTAGAAGCTTCAACCATATTTATCTTGTTTATCTGATCAAGTTAAGTCTATTAGCATGCACTCAAGTAGTTTGCCATGTTACAGTTCTCATGTCCTACGTTAAACTTTCCTATTCACACCATTGCGTTACATATGACTTTGCACATCTATTAGCTATATCATATATCAATTCACTACTTAAACACTGATCCCATAGTCTAACACATTCGTGGCTATAAAATTAGAACCAACAAGGATAAGACATTCATGCCGGTGTGTCAGAAAAAATGTTTACAATAAGCCCTTCAGTGTAATTTCACGGGAACAAGTATACCGAGTTCTGCAAACAAGTTCTACAAAAGCATTTCTCATATTACGTGCTTGCATGGAAAATAACAACCATGCATGCTGATTCGAACTTACCAGTAGAAAGGTTTCTCTTACGTGGTGGTTTGTTGTAATGGTTTCACACTTCAGTATATATATAAGTAAAGTTTTTGTGGAACATGTTTAAAGACGGCACTTTTCTACTCCATTCCAATAAATGGGAAGAACTTGCCCATCACGCGTATAAGAATCACGTAAACTCAATTTTGCTGATGCATGATTCTGACTATTGAACTCCCAACTAACATTTCGCTTGCAGGACGCACCGAGTGGCAATTGGTGGCTACAAGTGGGAGGCAATGACGTGGGTTATTGGCCATCCTCGATCTTCTCATACTTGCAAGATAGTGCCTCCTCTGTTGAGTGGGGCGGTGAGGTATTCTCGCCTGACGCTGGCCAAACTTCAACACAAATGGGTAGTGGACACTTCCCTAACGAAGGATTTGGCAAGGCTAGTCATATCAAGAACATGCTAGTGGTCGATTCGTCCAACACCCTTAGATTGCCAAGTGGTGTGAACTTGCTAGCTGAGCAGAGCAACTGCTATAATGTGCAAAGTGGTACCAGTGTCGACTGGGGCACGTACATCTACTTTGGGGGACCTGGGAAGAATCCTAACTGCCCATAGTAAAACTATCTCGTTGACACATGACGAGTACCCATTTAGCAATATAATAATGCATGTATTACTAGACACCGAATAAGAACTGTTAGGGTCGATATTAATGCATGTAATATGCATATCCATGTATGGCCCTACAGTGGTCAATTGCTATGTATCCATCAACATATGTAAGATGTGTATTCATGTTTCGCCGCTTGTTCTAGAATATAAAAATAGTTTATCAAAATAGGCATATCCATGTATGGAATAAGAACTTTTTTTGTCATTAGTTATTACAATCATATAGGCATTGCACCAAAGAGACGACCAACTTGAAATAATTGTTTTTATTGAGTGAATAAATGTGGTTATACTTACTTCTAGAACTCAAAGATATATAAATCAACAACACTACTACAAAAATGAATTTTAAAAGATGCCCTTTTTTTAGAGATGGGTCAAGCAAAAACCGTCTATCAAAATAGTTTTAAAGATGACAAACCTCTAGAAATCGATTTCTAGAGGTGGTTGGTGTTTTCAGACACCTCTAGATATGCCCTCTATTTTCATAGATGATTAGAAAGCTCAGCCGCCTCTAGAAGTCCCATTTTACAAGCTATTAGAAATAGAGGCATTTCTAGAGGTGGCTGAAACTTCATCTAGTCTCTACAAATAAATTTCTAGAGGCGGTTGACTATATATATGGCCATGTCTGAGAATAGGTGTAGCACAAAAAATTCATAAATCCAACTTGAAGAGCTTGTTGAGAACCTTAACTTTGTAGTTGACCACTTTTTTATTTAAATATTATGGTCCAAAAGTTACGTTCCAATTTCTAAGATTTTGATTTGAAATTTAAACTTTTTTATTTAACTAACCGTACGTCTTATTCAACCGGCCCAAGAAAAATACAACTAGTTGATGAATATAGAGTGGTAAATTATACCATAGAAAGCAAAAGGGCATGTTGCCTAGTGGTTTCAAGAGCCTCAATGGCACCTCAGTTCCTAGGTTCGACTTCCCGTGAGAGCGAATTTTCTAGGATTTAATGGCGTTGTGCTTTTTAATGGTAGGCGACGTTCCCATCGACAGCAAAGTGCCTGTGGTGAATTCTTCAATCTCGAGAATTTGTCTGTCCAGTCTTCGAAGAAGCTCATTGGGATAGGGTTTGCATGCGTGCGTTCATAAGGGATGAATGTGCGTGTGCTATGAGTGTGCGTTGTTCTATGTAATTCGCAAATTATACCATAGAAAGGGGCAAGTCGAACAAATATTTTAACTAGACTATGATCCATCGTACCCAACATCATACAGCAAAGCTGTAGAAGAATGTTTATTTACATCAAACTAATACTTGTATGTTGTGTAAGGAAAATGGACCCTGTTTGGATTTTGGTATTTGATGATCAACAAGACCAAATTGGACTAATATATTTGCAAGTGTTTGTTTTGTAGTACAATAGGGTGCAAACATGACTTGGATGAAGGCGACCAGGTGATTCGATGACCAACACCTCAAGCAAGGCATTAGAAGCTGAGTAGAAGACCCAAAAGATCAAGCAAAGTCCAAGCACGAAAAATGGAACCAAGCCGGACGCAAAGGTCGCGAAGAAACGGAGTGAACGGAGCATCATAGGGAGCTTCGGACCCGAGGTGACGAAGGAGCGGACCATGGACCGCCGGTCTAGTTGCGAACCCTAATTTCAGGGTAGTTCGGACCTGGCGAACAGTGTTCGTCAGGGCCCGGTGAACAGTGCCTATCCGGACCATTGAGCCAGAGTCTGGATGAGTTAAGCAGTTATGGATTACGTTCGGACCCATGAATAGTACTATCGGAGCAATGAAGCTAGCGTCCGGAGGTGTCCAGTAAAGTTGCAGAGAGCGTGCTTGGCTCCGGACTCAGTACGGACGGAGCGTCCGGACCATTGACGGTCCGGTCCGAAGGTTGGTCCCACCTGTCAGCCTCAGTGCGCGCGCGTAACAGCCATTGAACGGTCGGTGTCAGTGATCGCTGGGGAGGAACCAGACCTGAGCTCAATGGTCCGGAGCACCCCCCTGAGTCCGGTTCAGTTGGTGCGCAGAGTTGCCCATCAAAAGGACCAACGGCTCTATTTGGTTGGGGGCCTATTTATACCCCCATGGCCCGCCAAATGAAGTGTGAAGAAGTGAGGAAACATACCAAGGGTGTTCATACACCATTCTAGTGCTCTCCACTTGCATAGTGCTTAGTGAAATATTAGGTAATTAGCGTAGGTGCTTTGTGAAGTGCTTAGGTTAATAAGACCATAGCTTTGTGCTTGCTCTAGGGGTTAGGCCTAGTGTTTAGTGAGGTTTGCATACCTCTTACTCCTCGGTGCTTGCGTACACCATTGTTGTACTCGGCGGGGCTTGTAATCTTACGAGACCACACCAACTATGTTTGTGGTGTGGTCACCACCGTGTACCGGAGGGAACAAGACCTGCGACGTTTCGGCTGGAAGCTTGATAGTGAAGACGGCGGGGAGCGGTCCGGGAGAGGCTTTGCCTTGCGCGGCTTAACCGGAG